CTCTTCCTTTAGCTTGTTGCACTCCTCAGCAGGCAGTTGGTCCTCGAACTCTTCCATCTTTATTTCTGTGTCATGAATTATTCGTTCAGCCATATTAACTGCTTCAACTCATTTCTTCTTTCGCCGCTCTTCCTCAGCATACTTTTCTGCATTTTTAACCATATTTTCAATATCATGTTTGCTTAAACCACCAGAAGACTGGATTGCAATCTGCTGCTCACTCCCTGTACCCTTATCTTTGGCAGAAACATGTACAATCCCATTGGCATCAATGTCAAATGTAACTTCGATCTGAGGGACTCCACGAGGGGCTGGGGGAATGCCAGCCAAAGTAATCTGCCCAAGAAGCTTGTTGTCTCCAGCCGTCTCTCTCTCTCACCATGACACACTTTAATCTCCACTTGAGTCTGTCCATCAGCAGCAGTAGAAAATACCGGGCCCTTCCTGGTTGAAATAGTGGTATTCCTGTTAATAAGTTTGGTAAAGACACCTCCCAGAGTCTCAGTACCCAGAGACAGAGGAGTGACATCCAGGAGCAGCACATCTGTGACATCAGCAGCCAGCACACCTCCTTGAATTGCAGCTCCAATGGCCACAGCCTTATCAGGATTGACAGCTGTTCTTGAGCTCAGCCAAAAAGATCCTGTACAGTCTGCTGAACCTTGGGCATTCTAGTCATGCCACCAACAAGAATCACTTCTCCTATGTCACTCTTGCTGACTTCGGCATCCTGCATAGCTTTCTGGCATGGGGCGATAGTCCTCTTGATTAGATCAGTGACAATTCCCTCAAACTGAGCTTCATATATTTGGGTCCAGAAGCTTTCATTGTAAGATATGGCAAGTTAATGTCAGTCTGCACAGATGAAGAAAGTTCACACTTAGCCTTCTCAGCAGCTTCCCGCACTCTTTGAAGTGCCACGTTGTCTTTGGTCAAATCAATTCCTGTCTCTCTTTTGAACTCCTTCACAATGTGTCATAACAAAGCTTGGTCAAAGTCTTCACCACCTAAGAAAGGGTCCCCATTGGTAGATTTCACTTCAAATACTCCTTTCTGAATTTCCAGGATAGAAATATCAAAAGTTCCACCACCTACATCATATACAGCAATTATTTTGTCTTCAGATTTATCTAGACCATAGGCCAGAGCAGCAGATGTTGATTCATTAATCACGTGAAGCACATTCAGTCCAGATATCTGGCCAGCATCCTTAGTGTCCTGTCTCTGTGAGTCATTGAAATAAGCAAGGACTGTTATCACAGCATTTTTTGCAGTGTTCCCCAAGTAATTTTCTGCAGTCTGTTTCATCTTCATTAACACAAATGCTCCGATCTGACTTGGAGAAGAGTTTTCCATGAGCCTCAACCAAGGCATCGCCATTGGAGGCACGGATAATTTTAAAGGGAACATTTTATTAAAAATGTCTTTCTGTACTCCAGGATCATCATAGCACCGGCCAATGAGATGCTTAGTGGCATAGAAAGTATTGTTTAGGTTGGTGACAGCCTGTCGCTTTGCTGGCATTCTAACAAGTAGCTTCCCATTTGCTATAAAGGCAACAGCGGAAGGGGTGGTTCTGGCACCTTTGGCATTCTGCAGCACCTTTGTTTGTTTATCCTCCATTACTGCTACACAGGACTTGGCAGTACGCAAATCAGCACCAACAACTGCACCCTTGATTGCTTCTGATGCATAATCTCTCCTTGAAACAAATCTAAATGTCTCATGACTAAGGCCATTCCAGCCATCCTGGTGGTGGGCAACCGTGCACCAGAAGGTGGTGAACCCTATGAGAGGGGCTACTGCGGCTCTGCTGGTGATTATCATGGTGGCTACACGGAGGGCCCGGATAGGTTTCATTTGGTTGCCTTTTATAATAAGTCTCATAGCTGGCAGTTGCGTGTCTTTTGACTTTTCTTCTTAAAAATTGGATATTCAGAGCTCTATAGCCCCCCACCCACCCACTGGAGATTGAACTCAGGACCTTGCGCTTGCCAGCCAGGCACGGTGCCACTGAACGCTCTATGCTTTCTGTAGACTTTATGGACCATTTGTCAATTTTCAACAAAATGACATGGATACATTTTATATATGCTGGTGGTAATCATCCTGGGAAAAACCAGTAAGACCAAATTCGCAATCTGTGGAAAGGCTGTTGCCATCCATTTCCTGAAGTCTTCTCTTTGTCTCACTGATCTTAGCACTTCTCCTGGAATGCTCTCACACAACCGTCATTAGATTTGTTCCTGGCTTCTAAGTGTTTTTGGCACTGTTGCTCATGGGCCTTTCAATTTGTTTTTCTAATTATTTGTTGTGGTTATACAGAAGAACAGATGGTTTTTAGTGTTTGTCCCTACATCTAGGAACTTGGCTATCATCACTTATTAACGCTAGTGGTTTTTTATCATTTGGAATATTCTCCTTGTACAGAAATGTCATCTGTGAATAATGACAGTTTTAGTTCCTCCTTTTCAGAATTTGTACTTTTGTATTTCTGGGGTAATACTGAACTTTTTAAGTCCTCCAGTACATCATAGAGAAGATATTAGTGGTCCTTGTCTTCTTTACAAATTTGGGAAGAAAATGTTTGGCACTTCACCAGCAAGTTTGAAAGTCACCATAAGTTGTTCACTTGCTTTATTTCTGTTTGTTTTGGGGAATATTTTGGTGGCAGAAGAGGGTAGAAACCTAGGGTGTGGATGTGGCTTTTTGTTATAATTTACTGTTACTTTTTCATCATGTATAGGAGCTGAACTTTAATTCATTTATAAAAATGATCAAGCACTCAGGAACTGAGGCAGAAGGATTGCCTCAAATTTGAGGCCAGCCTGGGCTACATCATGAGTTCAAGACCAATATAAAATATGTAGTGAGACTCTGTCTCAAAAGACTTAAAAATGAAAAATTGTGTAATTTTCCCCTGCTTTGTTTTGTTAATGTATATAACACTGAGTGATTGTAAAATGTTAAACTCTTAGATTTGAACACATCGTGTCATGATGTATATGATTGTTTTTATCTAAATCTGATGTTATTAGTCATCTTTAAAAAAATTGGCTCTATTTTCAGGAGAGTTCTTGGTAAATAGTTTTATTTTCTTCTAATGTCCTTTTATTAGTTATTAGCCACTTTCTCAATGTTGGGAGAATATACCTGACACCCCACATTTAAATGGGCACAGGTTTATTTGGGCTCACAGTTTTGTTGGTTCTGTCCATGGTTAGCTGGTTCCCAGGCAGAAATGGCCTGGTGGAGGGGCTTGGTTGGCCAGGTGCTTCATGGTGACCAGGTGCAGAGAGGAAAAGGAGGAGCAGCGTCCAGAATACATACTTTGAGCTCACACCCCAGCTGGTGACGTGCCACTTCTGACCATGCACCGCCTATGAACCTGAGAATTGTACATTTGTTAAATGGTGGCATCGGGTTTATATTAGGCTCATGAAATCACTGAGAAACTAGGTCCTCGATTCTGTTTTCCTACACAGTTTGTATGTTTGAGGGACTCATGTGGAAGTTTTCTGGATAGAAAGGTGTTAGAATTTTTGTTACAAAACTCCCCAGAAAGAAAAGGGATGTTGCATTTTTTTCTGTTTCATCTGTTGTAAGTTGTTTGAGCTTGAAGTTTTCTACAAGTGTACCTATTTGATGTCAGTTTCCAAATCTGTAGTAAAGCTTTTCCATAATATCCCCTACCTCTTGTTTGTAGCCTCTTTGGGACCCATGACTATGTCTCCCATTTCATTCCTAATATCACTTACTCTCAAATAAACTTTTTCTGGATTAGTCAACGGCCAAAGTTCATGTACACTGTTACTAGTGTTTCAAAGGACTGACTTTGGCCTCGGTGCCCCCTCTCTATTGTTTTCTTTCTCCTTTTCATTGGTTTTGCTTCCTTTCAGCACTAAAGCTGGGCCAGGGCTGGCATTCAGTACTAGAGGCTTGCCCACCACGGGCAATGCCCTGGGCTTGATCTCTAGCACCAAACACACACACAAAAAAATAAAGCTTATACTGTCCTTGGCTTTGATGTGTCACAGGATGATGTTACTTATCAACAGTGACACTTTTCTAATGTAGAAGCATACAAAGCTGTAAAATTCCCTGTAAACTTTAACTGCACTCCACAAGTTTTGCCATACAATATTTTTTTTCTCATAGCTCGATTGTTTTAGCTCTTTCTTAACCAAAGGTTGAGAAGTGATTTCAGTTGTTTTTAATGATGCCAATTTTCAGTTTTATTTTTATGTTTGTGAGGCTATACCACTCAGGCTGACCTCAAACTTGTGGAGTCTGTCAGCTCCCTGCCTCAGCCCCCTGAGCACCTTGGCACAAGCCACTGCACGCACCAGGCATCTATCAGTAGTGTTGAAATCATAGTGGAGAAAATCTTGGGTTCTATTGGTATGTTATAGGAGTAAGTTAGTTTTTCACATCATTGTCTCAACTTTCTATTCCTCCAACCCTGAATAGTACAGATGTACATGGCTGCTAACTTCACTTATTTAAATCTCTGTAGGATTGAAAGTTAGAGGATTTAAGGCTGTGCCTGCACCATTTATTTACATGCAGCCTTCTCAAAATGCCACTGGGCCTTTGTAAAAGGTATTTTTTTTATTAAATTGGGATAAGAAAAGGCATGATATCACCAGGAAGGGTTGACACAGAAATGGTGAGTACTTCCTCAATGAACTCGTTGCCAGTATCCCTCTTTGATTGACGGGACTCGCTGATTCTGCCTGCATTTTGGTTACCCCTAAGCCATGTAAGGATCTCGGCCAGACTTTGTATGTTACCTGTTTCCTTTATTCACCTCTACTGGATTAAAGCTTTTGGCTTTTCCTGCACGCAGGGTTCTGTTGGGTCATGCAAAATCTTGGCCCTTGTTTGGAGCTCTCATTGATGAGGCAGGTACAAGATTGTTGATTCATAGGAAATCTTTTTGCAATTTTGGGGTGAGTGAATTTTGTTATAAATATAATGCATTCATCATTATTTTTCAGGAAATGATGACTGACCCAGATGAATTTGCTGAATTGCCTGATATGGACCAGAAACCTGTCAGAGATGGGGATCAACCTACCCCATCTAAGAGAATGTGCACTGTGTCCCTGCAGCCACTGATACAGAAAGGAGAAAGTGAACCCCATCTTGAGGAGCAGGCCAAGTCCAAGGAAGAAGATGACTATGTCTTTGGTGGGTGGACAGGGATCTGCGTGTGTGCAAGTGGCAGAGAACCCAAATGAGACTGAGGAAGTGCTGGGAGTTGCTGCAGGAGATGAAGCAGACAGTATCCTCTCGGTGGTGTGACAGGATGGGCTCTAACAGTGCGGTGTGCAGTTCCCTCCAGCTGTGCTGGCCTTCTCCTGGGACACCTTCCTCCATGCTGGCCTCAGCTTCCTGCTGTAATGCAGTACTGTTGGCCTCCTGCCTCCTCCACAACACCCAAGGGGTTGTCCCCATGGTTCACAGTGTCAGCTGACATCACTGTTCATTTCTCAGAAGCAGGTGGCAGAATTCTTTTCTTCTTCTTTTATGGCAACTTCTAGAACTTACATTCTCCACCATCTTTTCCTTATTTCTGCTTCCGTCTGGTGAATCCTTGCATTTTTATTTTCCTTGCCTTTCCAGTTTTCTCCCCTCAAGTTGTATATTTTGTGAGTCTTGCCATTTTCTTCTGTGCTTCTCTCCTACTCTGACATGACTGATCACTAGTAAGCTCCAACAGCTTCCTCTCTCATCAGCCTGCTTGTGTTCTTGCCCCCTACTCACCTATACTATCTTCCCCTGCACGCAGAGTTATCATGTAGAGAGGGAAATGAAGCGAGGCCACATCCATCTTGATGATTCCCCATCCCATAGTCTCCACAACAGAGCTTGAACTCATTACTTTGGTCCACAGACTCAGCCCAGCCTGGCTCTGTCACCTTCTCCTTAGCCTGGTCCTGGCAGTCCTCCCCGCTGCTCTGCCTCTGCTCTTCACTCTGTGGTCCCTGATTGGGCTGCCCTGTCTCGCACCCTAGCCTTTGCCACAGTCTGCACCCTCCCTCTGCATCTGCACTGACTGCTCCATGTCCTCTTCAGACTCTGCTCGGTGGACACTTCCCGGGAGGCCTGGCCACCCCCCAGAGGTCCTGGAAGCCCTCTCTGTGGCTCCCTCTCCCAGCCCTGCCCCCTGTTTCCTGGCGAGGCTCCAGCTGGAGTTGTTAAGTAGCTCACCTGTCTGCCTTCCCCATGGCAACATCAGATCCAGAAGGACGTGGACAGTTTCTGGCTGGCTGGCTCATTGCTGATCCCCAGGTCCTGGAATAGCAGAAGATGAGTTAATGACACACACGTGACGGAAACCCACTTCTTTCACACGAAGTGGCCGGATGAGGAAAGTCATATTCAGAGAAGCATTCCTAGTCCTGCAGAGCAAGCGTCACACATCTTGACCTCATGTGGGACTTCCAGCCTTTCAGCATGTAGATGAGGCAAGGTGACACTACATCACAACGGGCTGGGCTTGGTGAAGGTTTTCTTCTTCATTGTCCTGCATGGCTGAGTCCCTGCTTGCATTCTTTGAGCCAGAAGCCATGAGGCAGTTTTCATGCATTCTATGTTCTGAGGTCACTTTGTCAGATCTCAGGTTTCTCTGAGATGTGCCCTTCTGCTGTAGCAGAACCAATTCTAGATGAGGGGAAGCACATGCATGTCTGGGTAAGGCTGACACAATGCATGTTCCTCACATTGAGCCTCTCAACTTGGTTTCCAGGTGCTTGCGTCAAGCAGGAAGCCCATGAGAAGACAGAGAGTGACCGCACCTCGCCTGACACCTGCTTGTCAGAGTGTGTTCCAGCGGAGCTTACAGGTATGGAGGAAGGAGGTGCAGTTGCACTCAGTCTCCAGAATTATCAGTCTGACGACTCCACCAGTGAGAGCAAGCTCGGGCTGCCTTTCAGTCCCAGTGGTGCCTCACTTGACGAAGGAGTCCATATGAGAGCTGTCTCTGCAGGTGACCCTGTCATCACCGCAATGCCTGCGCTGCCTGTGGTGCCCCATCAGCTGACAATGAGCCCACAAGAAATCAATGCTGATATAAAGCATCAGGAGATGAAGGAAATTCGGCAGTTTGGACGAAGTAAGTAGTGGGCAGCATGTTTAGCAAGTAAAACACACATGGTCACACAATCTGTGGTTTCACATAGCTCAAGCTACCTCAGGAGCATCATCCTTTGCCAGATCAAGTTTTCTATAGTTAAGGATGGTTCCTCTTTACCTTTATTTAATTCTCTTTTTTGTGAGTTCATGTTTGCAGTACATAATGATTACATTCATCATGGAGAGTTGGTATATGTGCAAAATACCGGTTAATTCTTTTTAAAAATACCCTTCCCCTCCTCTTTTTCCCCTCCCTGTATTTCCTGATCCCTTTTCCTTTGCAAAGGATCTATCTCCCTATTTTCTACTACCTATGTGTTATTTTGTTCTTTTTTAAAAATTAATTTTCTTGGTACATTTAAGGTATACAGCATAGTGAAATTCATTATTGGAAACTTGCACCTTCTCACAGTCCATCTTGGTTGTTCTTTATGTATATTTTAGGTCTCTCCTATTAGGGAAACTGTGCCATATTTAACTTCCTGAGTCTGATTTAATTCATTTAGCATTATCGACTCAAGGTGCATCCAGTGCACTAATTTACATTCCAAGCAACCATGTAGTAGGGTTCCTTTCTCCACACAGCCTCACCAGCATTTATTATAATTTGATTTCTTCATAATAGACACACATTCCAGAGTAGGAAAGACTCTCAGTGTTGTTTTAATTAGCATTTCTAAAGGTCAGAGATGTTGAACATTTTCACACATGTTTATTGGTCGTTTGTACTTCTAAGAAGTGTCAGCTCATCTCAGGCTCCCATTTTTGATTGGGTCATATTTTAGAGGACTAACTTTTTTTTACTTCTTTATATAGTCTAGATGTTAGTTCTCTGTTTGTGGAGTAGCTGGCAAAATATTTTCCCATTCTGTAGGTTATCTCTTCACTTTATTGGTAATTTCCTTTGCTGTACAGAAAGTTTTGATTTGGTAACATTCCATTTGTTGATTCTATCTTTATTAGTACTTTATTACATTTTTATTTTTATTGCAGTACACAATGATTACATTTATCATGGAGAGTTGGTAATGAATATTACACACCTCAGTTCTACATTACACACCTGTCCTCCCTCCCCGCTTTTTCCATCCCTTGATGCCCTTCCCATTTGCAAAAGCTCTATTTCCATTTTTTCTTTCAATTCTTTTATTCATCCCCTTTCTCTCCCCTCACTACCCCCTCATGTCATATCTTGTTCCCCTTCCCATTTGAAAGAGATCTCTGGTCTACGGCCATACCACCCTGAATGCACCCGATCTTGTCTGAAAGAGAGCCGTGTACTTCTTTTTATCTACCTTTACTTTGTGCTTTATTTATACTTTAGGTTTCTTGTATAAGAGAAACCGTGCGGTATTTATCCTTGTGGGTCTGATTAAATTCACTTAGCATTATGATCTCAAGGTGCTTCCATTTATATACAAATGCCTCAAGTTTACTCTAATTTATGGCAGAGTAGTATTACGCTGTGAATAAATAACACATTTTCTTCATTCATATATTGATGGGCATATAGGCTGTTTTCAACATTTAGCTATTTTAAATTGTACAACAATAAACATGGTTATATATGTATCGGTGTAATGACGTCTTTAACTCTTTCAGGAAGATACCAAGGAGAATAATCATTGGCTCAAATGGAATTTCTAGGTTTAGTTTTTTTGGGAAAACTTCATACTGGTTTCCATAGTTATTGTACTAGTTGACATTCCCACCAAAAATATAGAAGCTTCCTTTTTCCCTCACAGCCTTGCCGCATTTATTTACTAGGTTTCGTAAGACGGATGTTCTTTCTAGACTAAGACAGAATCTCAGTGTTGTGTTAATTTGCATTTCCCTAATGGCCAGCAATGTTGAACAGTTTTTTTCATATAGTTATTACCCATTTGTAATTCTTCTGAGATGTGTCTGTGCATTTGCACTGGGGAGAGGCCTAAGTGTTTTGAGTTCTTCATATGTTCTAGATTTTAGTCTCCTGTCCAAGGAATACTGGACACAAATTTTTTTCTGGTTCTGTAAAAGGAGTCACTCTGTTGGTTGTTCCCTTTGCTGTGCAGAAGCTTTTTCATTTGATGTGACTCCATTAGTTGCTTCTCAGTGCCATTTCTTGGGTCACTGGGGTTCTATTCAGAAAATCTTTGCCTATGCCTAGGACATAAAGCATTTTACCTATTTTATCTTCCAGTAGGTGAAGTATTTCTGTTTTAACATTTAAATCTTTGATCCATTTTGATTTTGGTTTAGTACATGGTGAGAGATATGGTCCAGATTTAGTCCTGTACATGTAGATAGCCAGTTTTTCCAGCACCATTTGCAAAAGAGGCTATTTTTCCTTCAGTGTATTTTTTGGCCCCTTTGTCTAAGACCAGATGGCTGAAAGTGCCTGGGGTTGTTTCTGCAACTTCTATTCTGTTCCACTGATCCACATGTCTGTTTTTGTGGCAGTACCATATTGTTTATATCACTATAGCTTTGTAATAGTACTTCAAGTTTGGGATTTTGATGCCTTCTGTTTTGCTCTTATTGCCAAGGATTCTTTTTGCTATTCTGTGTATCTACTGGCTCGCTAAGAATTTTAGGATTGTTTTCTTTAGTTCTGTTTCCCTACTGTAATTGTGTTTATATTTATCTGATCTTTTATGCCCAGTGCTTGTTATATGAAGCTGTGTGTATCAGTGTTTAATGTGTAGGTATTTTTAATTATCTTTTCCTGTTGAATTGTTCTCTTAACTAATACATAGTGACCTTCTTTGCCTCTTTTGATCAATTTTGGCTTGAAGTCCACTTTGTATGAAAATAGCATAGCTAGCCCTGCTTGTTTTCTGATTCCTGCTGTATGGATTTTTTTTTTTTTAGTTTTAAAAATAATTTTTATTTTTTTAAAGTTAATGTATGTATTGCAGGAAACAAAACACAAGAAGCAAAGAACAAAGTCATTCTCAAACATAAGCAGCTTAGCTGGATGTGTTCTTTTAGGTCCTGCATGTACATATATGACAGCCATTTTGTGATTGAGTTTGTACAGTGTGTGTCAGGCTTTTCTACACATCATGAATATTCAGCAATTCAAAATCCCAAAGCTACAAGAGTATTTTTGATAACTGAGAATTCACTACACCACTCGATCTATTAGAAAAAATTTGTAATCCTGCCTTTCTTGAGAACAACAATTTCACTGAAGATAAAAATGGCAACAGGCCTCTAGACAGACGTATGGGCAAAGTTACAATTACAATACTGCATTTCCTTAATGCTCAATTTAAAATGAGACCTAAAGCAACAGAGTATACTAAGCCATGTGTCAGAATTATCAGATCTTTACTACTAAGATATTAGCAAGAAGGCATATTCCCACTAAATGATTAATGTATTTCTACTGTATATGTAGAGGACACTTTGATTTCTCTCATCAAAATGTAGATCTGAACACTTTGCTCGCATCTCTCCCTGTGTGCTCATTTCTGCCCCTCTGCTGCCAGCCTAGTGACAAGTCCCGATACGCACTGCCTAAAGAGGTTGTAACAATTCTAAGATGCATCTTCCCTATCAATTACAACAAAAAGATACTTAAATGTTGTCTAACTCACCACCTCTAGTTGTTATGGTGCACTGTCACGCCATGACATCTATAAAGCTTAGATGCTGTGCAATAGAGTATGAACTATGTGCACAATACGCCCAAGTACCTCACCAAAAATAAAAATGCATCCACAGGCCTATGGTTAGACTCTAAAATCATCTTCCAGATATGAAGATCTAGCAAAGAGCTCTCACCACCCTCACCCACCCTTTTCCCTCTTCACTTCAGTGACTTAAGTTCAGGACCACATCTCGCTCCAAGAAGTGGCTTCCAGAAGACTGTTCTTCCTAAAAACTACTTTGCTATTTCTAACACAATTAGGGCAGTAAGACTTAACCTTTAATACCCAGCAATATTAACTAAAATGTACATATAGAGCAGCAGCAAGACAATCTGAACTCATGTAACCTCCTCTCTGCGTGCTTCCCCTCCTGCACCTCCTGAACAGCCAGCATGCTCTCCAAGACACTAGGTTGGACACATCCATTCTCAAAATACAACCATTTCTGTGAAAAGAAATACTTAAAGCTCATTATATTGGCCCTTGACTTCTACATGTGTGAACTTTAGACATCTAAAAAGATGAGATATTTCCAGTAAGAATTTAAGATGTCTCATATGTATAGTGGCATTGAATAAATTGCACACACATACTTAACAAAGGCTACATTTTCAAGTGTCATCTAAATAGGAGCACTCTCATCTGGCGCCCTTTCCCCTTTCCATCTTTTTTAACCCAGGGGACAGATATACGGATATGTAATACTTAGAGGGGCTTTAATAATTTCACTTACTATGTGGTTTAAGAACATTCTTTCTAATGAATTTTAACACAAAGTATACTCGACGTGGTAATTTACTAATTCTACTGTCATACACTGGCAACCTCTTTAACATCTAGAAAGACTATATGTAAATTAGGACTCCTTTGTCCTTTATATGCAACTATACACACAGGAAAGTAAAACAAAATGCACAGACATAAGGGACAGTGGTCAACCACACTTTACCTAAACCACATTGATTTAGAGCCCTTTGTACTTTCTTTTCCTCCTCCCTCTCCAGCACAAATATGTTTACTGCTCAGATCAATGGTATGATCGTTCCATTTCCTAAAGACAGTATTAATTTTAACAAAGCAATATCTACAAAATGTGTTGTCACTACCTCTACTTTTAACATACTTTGTGCACTTCTAAACATCTAGAAAGACTAGATGTTTCAAATATAGACTCAAGTTTGTCCACTATATACATAGTAGTGTTGAATAAACTACACACATGTAACAATGGTTACATCTGAAAGTGTCTTCCAAGTAGGAGCATTCTGGCGTAGAATCATTTCTTACCATTTCTTATTTCCTTGTCATTTGTGATTGAGGCACATGTGACACACAAATGTGACTTTACAATTACATTTCCAGAAATCCTTTTCAGAAGACAGCCTTTCTATGAATTTTAACACAAAGTATACACAGACAGTGTGGTAGTTTACTAACTCTACTTTTGTCATACATTGGCAACCTCTTTAACATCTAGAGACTAGATATTATAAAATTAGGACTCGTGTGTCCAGTATATGCACTATGTATACAGTACAGCAAACTTAAGTGAAATGCATCTAACATAAAAGCAATGTCAGCTGAAATTTTCTACCATGTACTTAGCAAAACACCTTTCACAATTTCTTCCATCCCACCTCCTTCAATCCAGTACAGACTGTGTACTGTTCAGGGATGGTTTAACCATTCTATTTGCAAAAAACAGTATTTCCTATTAGTTTATAAAAGCAATTTACAAAGTGTTATTCTAGTACTTCTACTTTTAAATATATCAAGCACTCCTACATAACTAGGACAATATTTTTCATGTAAGAACTTTTCTGCTATTGTAACAGCACTGATAAATAAAACTGCACGTATATTAATGGTTATAATCTGAGGTATCTTCTACGTATGACAATTTTGGCCTCACTTCTTTCTCTCTGCCTTCAACCCAGTGGACAAGTACAGGAGGAATATGTAATGTTAGAGATGTTGAATCTAAAATTCATTTACAGAGGACAAACTTTTCTGTGTATTTCAACACAAAGTGTACAAAATGTGCTCACTCTACTACTTTGTCATATACACTGGAACCTCTTTAACATTTAGAGACTAGATGTTGCAAAATTTGGACTTGTCTGTTATATATACTATATACACAACAAAACAAAACACACAAAACATACAGAAAAATTATATCTCTAAGTGTCCAAGTACAGTGCTCTCTCTGCCAGAACTCTGTATGGAATTTTTTTTATTTTTTGGTTTTTTGAGACAGGGTCTCACTGTATAATTGAGACTGACCTGGAACTTACTATGTAGCCCAGGCAGGTCTCGAACTCACAGCAATCCTCCTGCCTCAGCCTCCCAAGTGCTGGGATTACAGGCGTGCGCCACCATGCCAGGCTGTATGGAACATTTTTCTCCATCATTTGATTTAGTTTGAAATTTCTTTTTGTGTTGTTTGTTTCATACAGCATACCATTGGATTTGGTTTTTGGTTCATTATAGCAATCTGTATCTTTTGACTATGGAATGAGATCTTTCAAATTGAGTTATTAATGAAAATTATTGATTTTCCTGTCTTTTCATTATTTTCCTGTTGCTGATTCCCTTTTTTCTCCTTCTGCTTAACTTCTTACCCTTCTTGGTGATTTTAAGCTTTTGGCATTGTTGACTTCATTTTCTCATTTTAGGATATCCTTGAGAATTTTTTGGAGTGCTGTTTTCGTGGTTACGAATTTCTTGAGGTGCTCTTTGTTATGGGAAGGTCTTATTTCTACATCAATTTTGAGAGACAGTTTTGCAGAATACACTGGGTTGGAAATTATTTTCTTTTAGGCACTGAAACTCTTCACTCCAGGCCTTCCTGCTTTTAACATTTACATTGAGATGTCTGCTGTAATTCTGATGTGTTTGTTTATTGCTTTTCTCTAACAGCTTTTAAGATTCTATCCTTGTGTTGGACTTCTGGGGTTTTAACTATGACGTGCGGTGAAGAAATTCTTTTCTAATTATGTCTATTTGTGGATCTATAAGCCTCATTTCTCTGTATGTTATACTGTTTCTCCATATTTGTAAAGTTTGCTATTATTTTTGTAAACAGGTTTATGTCATTTGTGTTATCTTCTTATTTTTTACTAATTCCAATTACTCTTAGATCAGTCTATTGTCTTCTAGCATCTCTTGGGTCAATTTTTCATGTTGTGTTGTTCTTAAGGTATCTCTGAGTCATTGGCTCCAGGTATCAGTTCAATCTTCTCACATTGGGAACTTCTGCCCAATACGTTCAGTAGACTTTTTAATCACCTGGATTTGTGTTTGGTACCTTTTTATGGACTCTGATTTTTGCTAAACCGGTCATTCGGGGTTTATATCATTTTGTTTAGCTGAGCTATCTTTGTGTGTGTGTGTGTGTGTGTGTGTGTGTGTGTGTGTGTGTGTGTGTCTTCTATAACCCAATCATTTCTTTATTAAATTCATTATCGCTTTAGATGTATCTTCTTAAGCTAACTGAACACTTTATTGAACTTTTTTCTAATCTCTCCTTTCTTGTTTCAAATAATTCCATTGTGTGGCTTTTGATTTCCTCCTCCTTGATAACTCATGGATCAGCTCTGGGGGTGTTTGGAGTTTTTGGAAGTATTCCATAGCCTTGTCTTCTCAAGTTTGTGGTTTTCTTGTACGTGGTTGTAGTGGGAAGACTGTTATTAGTATGGAGTTCCCTTCAGTTAGTGTCTGCTTTTTAGTAATGCATTCTGCATGTGGCTTTGCCTCTGTCTCAAAATCAAACCTCCTCCATTAATTTGGGAGGGGACAGTGCAGTATAATTGTCTCAGGACAGAATTCTATGAGAATGGAACACAATATTGTGACACAAAAACAATTTAGATACTGACGTAGAGAAAAAAACAATTGCAACAACTGTGCCATCTTGGTAATAGCAACAAAATCAGCAATAACAGTCAAAGACAAATGGGATACTTACATACCATAAGAATCAATAATATAGCACCTTTAACCAGAGCAAAGAAATCTATAATTACAGTATAATCACTAAGACCAACCAAACATTGGCATACAGTAAATATCTACCAAAACCTGCACTAACAACAGAATACAATGCCACACCAAAAGCATAGAGTTCACTATCTAAAGATTAATAAAGCTTAATAGTTGTACTAATAAAGATAAAGGGGTTGGGGAAATAAGAGAATAAGAGAAGTACAATCTATGGGCAGGGGATTTAGCTCAGTGATTTTGCTGCCTGCCTTGCAAGTGCAAGGTCACGAGTTCGATCCTTGGTACAAAAAAAAAAAAAAAA